TCTTTCTCTTCTCTTTCTCTTTCTCTTTCTCTTTCTCTCTCTCAACGTTATTTTCATTTTTTTCCAACATGACCACCCATACGTGCAACTGCAAACCCCATGACAATAAAACAATTTTTCATTTTCATTTTATTGACTTTATATATATAAACTCCAAAGACACTAACTTAACTATGCACTACAGTAACATCTGTGGCTGTAGACTATGCAGTCCTGCCACCAAACACCAATACATCACCAATTCTTATATTTCCATAACAGTAAGTTGGTAATAACAATAAAAAACTGCAGTGACAGAGTGCTATGCAGTAGCAACGGAATTTACCAGCTCTGAGGATTTGTGAGTGGATGCTGTTCTTGGCCCAAAGAAAGTTGGTTTGAATCTTGGGTTTAGAGTCTTGGCTTAACTCTTTCCTTTATGCTAACTCAAAAAAGGACCATTTGCAAGCGAGAAAAAACGGGAGCGCTCTAAGAAATTACAGGAAAATTATCATGTTAAGATAGGAGAGTGATGTTAACCCCACCCCCCCAAAAAAAATATAGAATAACGATTTAACATAAGATATTTTATGTTTTTTGTAGATGTTACTTTTTTTTTTTTCTTTCTAAAGGGAGGGTTTTCGTATTCGCTTTACTCGAACGGAGAAAAAATTAAGAAATCGATGGTCGAAATATCGTATCGAGTTTTTATGACATTTCAGTCGCTTTTTTATTACTTTTTTCATTCTATATACTATTTTCGCGTAGTCGAGTGGCGTAACGGTTCATCATCGCTCCATACCGTCCCCATTCATATATCACAGTCTCTATGGAATTCTGTTATACTTTGGCGAGACGGGTCAGTTTTGGGTATACGGGCGTATTAGAGTTTATATTCGTCCTTTTTTCTGCTTTCTGGTCATGCTATACATTACATTCTTTGTCCTCTTCTTTTATGAATCCTGTCTTTCTTTATAACTGCTTTCCGTATTTATAACATTGCTTTATCACTTATTCCTTGTTTATATCCTTGTCCTTTTTTATCTTTCCTTTGTTCTCTTGTCCCTTTTCCCGCGTTCTTCTCTTCATATTGCGTTGTTCGTTTCTCCTCCACTCTTCTCTTTAATGATTTTTATCCACTTCTTATTTCCTTGTGTCCTCAGTAACTCCTTGTGATTCCTAGTTATTCTTGTGTGTCCTTTTCGTCCGTTTCTTTGCATATATTTATCCTTTTTTCGCGTGTCCTTATTCCCACTTTACTCTTCGAAGTTACAAGTAGGCCTATGAGTCATCAGGCAAGTTCACCCAATTATAAGTGTACATTTATAAGTCTTCGAGTCGATGAGTAGGTATATAGCTTCTAAACATATCACTTAAATGGCTATACTAAATTGGTCATGTATGTCTATGTGAGACTTATATTGTAAGACTTTCGTGCGTCATATAAACTTTTAGGGAGATAAAAAAAGAATATTCTGCCACTTGATTTAAAATATATAGACAATGTAGGTGAATGTAACACATGTAGACAATGTAGGTGAATTTCACCTCGAAGTTTTATGGTGTTTGGTGTGTTTCTTATAGTTGTTAATGATAATGATATTTGTGTTCTCTTTTTCTCTCTTATCCTCCTCCTTCTCTTTCTTCTCTCTCCCCCTCTTCCTTCTCTTTCTTCTTCTTCCCCTCCTCCTACTCTTTCTCCTTCTTCTTCTTCCTTGAGTCTATTCTGTAGTTGGTGTGAGGCATTTAGTGTATTTATCCCCTAGGTTCTGAAGACAAGTTTTAGTGTAGACTTCGATATTTCAGATCATTGTCCTAAAACACAGTCAACATTCACGAACACTGCACTTGCTATCCACAAACATTATTTTCCGTTACAACTGCTTCCATCAACCCATTATCCTGGTAACATTATCTCCACACCAGTCTCCTTTTTTGGAACCCTACACACTGTCCTCATGTGTTAACTTCAATATCCTCTAATTTATTCTCGTGTGTTATTGACCTCATTTTGTCCTCTGGGTTTTGGATGTCCATGACTGTACACTGACCAGTTCCACTTATCATATACATTCAGAAACATTCACATTTCCAGACATTTCTAGACATTTCCATTCGTATGGGTTCGAAAAAATCACTCTTTTTCAAATATTCATATATAAGGAAAAAGAAAATCACACACCACGTTAGTTCAAAGCGGTTTTCATGTCAAAAAATTCTCTCTTGACAAATATATCTACACCTAACCATATATATACATAAAAGAAATCTCATGCCATGTCATTTCAAAAGCAGATTTCATTTCAAGAACTTTTCCTCTCTTGACAAACTTATCTACACCTAACCAACTCCAATATTCCAACTTTTCTTTCTTATCTTCTTGGCCCAATGTAGAACACGTATGAGTGACAATAAACATCTTCACAATAAAAGAAATGAGTCGAACTGATTTCGAATAATATCTTTACCAGGAATACATACATATTCGAAACCTATCAAATACCATCTCATGTATTGTGAACATAACTCATTCTCATTCATACTTGTTTTTTCTACACGTGTCAACATAGAATACGGTTCATTCTTCTCAAAAATTCTCGCAAAGGCTCAAAGGTTCATATCGCAATGGCTCAGAGGTTCATGTCGCCCACAAGCACGAGCCTCTGACTGGACTGGGAGGCCGTGAGTTCGTCTTGGTACCGGGACGCCGACGAAGCCGAAGACACGGGCGAACTCCGCTCAGAGGTGTTCGTTGCGGATGAAGCGGTTTCCTTCTGAATTATGGCCCACATATTTGTACCGACGGATCCCGTACGCACCTGAGGACGAGGGAGAGGCAGAGAAGGTGAGTAATTTCGAAGGACAGCTATGGAAGATGAATATTTTCGACTGAGAAGTGTTAGAGATGAGTTATGGAAATGAATAATTTCGAGGGATAGGTTTGGATGATGGATAATTCCGAAGGAGAGGTAAGATAATTATTTTCGAAGAAGTATGGAAAATAAATAATTTTGAAGTAAATGTATGGAAAATTTCGAAGGAGAGGTAAGGAAGGTAAATCTTTTCGAAAGAGGGATGTGGAAGATGAATGATTTCGAAGCAAGGTGAGAAAAAAAAAAAAAAAAATCGAAGGAAAGGTATGTCAGCAAAATAATTCCCTGGAATGATCTTTAGATTAGTAAATGCATGTAAAGTGTGATTAGCAAAAGAATTGGAATCATGGAGAAACGAGTAAATGATAGGTTAAACAGTTCCTTTCCTTAGATGGCTATAGGATATCAGTAAAGGAAAGGGGAATTGTGTGGGATGAGAAAAAAATATACATGAACAAATAATTTCCTTGGATGGTAATTTGACGTATAGGTAAGGAGAATGGCGGAGGGTGTGAATAGGTTAAAAAAAGGTAATTTGATCGTAGAGAAATGGAAAACTGTGGAGGAAGATAAGAAGAATTGTAAACAATGGTAACAAGATCTTAAAAGAAATTGGGTTATTTGCTGGTTTCTGGAATATTCTAGGACGGTTATTAACACAGCTGCAAGGAACAGTATTTAAGGTCAAGCGTTGCTTCTCATTTCCATAAATAATGAGTTTTACGAAATGAGATCTCATGATTAAGAATAAAGTAAAAATATCAAATGTGTTAATGAAAACAAAGATTAAGTAAACAGAAAAAAATATATATCTACACACTCACCTAACCTCGAAGTTCTCTCTCCCATCACCAACACAAACACCAACCAACGCCTTAAAACATCTACAAATATCTCCAACATCCTAATTCTCCTCCGACATCCACCAACACCACGACCACGCCTAAACATCCGAACCACCAACAAAATCCTCAAAACGAAGAAGAAATCAAAAATAAAAAGAATATCGCCGTTTCTTTTTACCTGTATGCTGTGGATGCGGCGTGTCCGAACTCTCTCGCTTGACCGTTGTGCCGTTCTTGCTTTCTCCGTTCATTCTCTTGGCTTTCATGCTAGTTTCTACAGTGGCCACGTGCGAGTCCCCGCCTGTGCTCTGCAATCACCATCACCCGTTAGCGTATGGAAGCCTAAAGAGCCTATTTCTTACATACATTAGTTTTTTATATAGTTTTCCAGCCTGTATGTTACATTGTGGCCTTTTTTCTCTCGTTTCAGAGGCTGTTACACAAAATGTCATTTACTATTATTAGTATTGTTGTTGTTATTGTTATTGTCATCCTTATTCTTCATATTATTATTATCATCATTTTTGTTATTATTATTATTATTGGTATTATCATCATTATTATCATTGTTGTTAGTATCACTGTTATTTCGTTTTCCACTGGGTTAGCAAGTTACATTGCCAATTACTTTTTAATGAGGATAAAAACGTATTGGGATATGCATTTCAACAGAATGAAACAGAAGATGGGAAAAAAGAAAAAAAGTATTATGTTTTTTTACATATACACAAACATACACTGTTGTCTTCTTCATTATCATCATCTTCCTTATCATTGTTATTGATGTTATTATAATTTCTACTGTTATCATCATTATTGTTATCCTGTTGTTTTTATTGTTATTATCATCACTATGTTCTTCCTTTCTCCTCTTTTGTTGTTCTTCATTTCTGTTATTATTTATTTTATTATTATTGTTGTTGCTCTTCTTCCTCTTCTTCGTTCTTTCCTCCTTCTTTTTCTTCGTCTTATTATTATTATTATTATTATTATTATTATTATTATTATTAGTCAGTTAGTATTTTCAATATTATTATCATTGTTGTTATTTCTGTTATCATTAAGTTATCCTTTTTATCATCGATATTAGTATCATTATTGTTATTGTTAATTGTGTTTTGCTCCTTCTTACTATAATATTGATAATAATAATAATTATCATTATCATTATCTTTATAATAATAATAATAATAATAATAATAATAATAATAATAATAATAATAATAATAATTATTATTATTATTATTATTATTATTATTATTATTACTACTACTACTACTATTACTATTATCAACATCATCATCATTATTATTATTATTATCATTATCATCAATATTACAGTTTTGTTATAATCATCATCATTATAATCGTAATCACCATTGAAAGGATAATTATAACAGTCATTACTACTATCAATGTTATCATTGTTACTACTATTTATTGATAATGCTGATAACGGTAATGCTATTATCATTAATATCATCATTGCTAATTTTGTATTCACAATAAAAATCAGTAATCATTTTTCCTATCATAATCATCATCGTCGTTATTGTCATTATCCATTATCATTACGTTATGGTTATTATTATCATCATTATCATCATTATTGTCACTTGTTATTTCTGTTATTATCATTATCATTAGTCGTAGTATTAGTAGTATCACTGTTATCATCATTAACGATATTAGTATTACTATCACTATTATTATCATTATCATTATCATTATCATTATTACTATTGTTATTATCATTACATGACTGTTATTATTACTGTTATTATTAATATTATTAGTTATATTATAATTATTATTATTATTATTATTATTATTATTATTATTATTATTATTATTATTATTATTATTATTATTATTATTATTA